ATCAAAAGGTCAAGAATCATTCAAAAAACAGGAAAAAACACCTAAAGCACCAAAAGGACCTAGTTCTGTAGAAGACATTAAAGCAAAAATGCAAGCAAGTATAGAAAAAGGTGGTTCTCTTCCCAAAGTGGAAGCCAAGTTTATCAATTATGTCAAGATTTGCTTCCAGATGATTGATCAGGAGGCTATTCAAGATCTCTAGCAGTGGAGGAAGTCTCTTTAAGAAAATAGTTTAAACAGTTTGTTAAAATTTTCCGTCTTATTTTATTTCTGTAACAATCGATATCTGGCTGTCCTTTTCATAATGCAGAGTGAGAACTTTCTCTAACCGTGTTTGATAATGTTGTTCAGGTTCTATTGCCAAGAATGTGTTGTCCAAAATGCCTGCTTAGTTTTTAAAGATGGAACTCCACCCTTTGCTTGGTTTTAAGTATGTATGGAATGTTATGATAGGACACAGTAGTAGTGGTAGTCAGACATGGAAATGGGGGGGAGACAAAAATATACACGTGAAATAAACTCAGTATTTTAATAAGGTAAAAAATAAATAAATAAAATCACACTGCGAGCATGTACATGTGTGCCCCAAATCCCAGGAGAACAGAGGAAAAGGGACTGCAGCATGGCCATCCCCCATGGGGATGCTTAAGGAGATACAAGAAAGAGGAGCCAAATCCACACAATGCCAAGGAGAGACACAATATGGAGAAAGAAGTCAGTTATATACATAGGAATATTTGGAAGATGTAATAAAGGAACGAGGACTTAAGCTTCCCAAAGTCAAGCATTCCTGAAGTCATGATGCTTAAAGCATAGCTAAGACATGGAACCAACTCAAATATCCACAAACAGATGAATGGACTAAAAAAGTGTGGCACATATACTCTATGAAATACTATTCAGCCACAAAAATCAAGACCGTGGCATTGGATAGAAAGTGGACAAATATGGAAGATTTATTGCTGAGTGAAGCAAGTCAGGTTATGAAAGAGAGACATTCCATGGAGGATGATTTCTCATTTTCCCTCTCACTATCTCTGTCTGTCTCTCTCTCTGGTGAGCACATGTGCCCTATGGCCAAAACTTCTAAAAAGAAGAGAGAGAGATGAAGTTCATCTTTTAAGGAAAAAAAGTTGATCCTTCTTTTTTATCTGAAAAAGTTAATCAATTACAATATATGATAAATACCTCTAATTATATCTGAAATCCACACTTCTCTATGTGCCATAGTAAGAAAAACTTATTTCATAGCAACTTTCTGATCTTTGATAATCATGTTCAAGTTGTTCTGAAATTAATGCTAACTGAGAAATATCGTACAGTATAAACATAATCCCAAATTTCACTTTGCAAGAGCTCAGATTTAAACACACACACACGTATTACATACACAGAAACACAATTCAGAGCATCACTATATTCCAGGCGTTGGCTGTACCACAAAGAACATTCTCTCTACCAAATGTATGCAACTTAAAACATGAAATACAAGTATCTGAAACATTAAAATCATGACTTTACACAGTCTCCAATTTTTTTTTACTGTAGAATTTAAAAGACAATATGAAATGATCTTGTAAGAAAGCTACCTTGCAAGAGAAACTATTCTTTCAGACACACAAATAAAAAAGTGATACTTAAATCTCATATCAAAATCTATCACAAATAAAGATCCATTAATTTATAAATCTTTGTGTAATTTTAAGTGAATTATATTCAAATTTTATTGAGTCACTGAAAAAGTTATGATGTATTTTTGCATAGAAAAATATACCTCATGGGACCAGCAGTTAGCATAATGGCTATGTCGCTAGACTCCCACGTAGTCAACTGCAGTTCGCGTCCCGGACCCGGTGGCTTAAAATTCACACCGGGCACGTGTACGTGCATGTCCAAGATCCCAAGAGGAGAATGGAGGAGAAGGGATTTCGGCATGGCCATCCCCCTGGGGGGTGATTTCTCGCTTTCTGTCTCTCAGTCTCTCTCTGTCTCACGCGCCCTATAGCAAAAACCTCTTCAAAAAAAAAAAAAAAAACATACCTCATGACTTTTCCAATAACCCAGTAATACCAGAGAGCAAAGTTGTGTTAACAATGAAGAATAAGACCTGGCAAGCAAAATAAGTCATCTCAATAGGTTATCATTCCTTACCTTTGAATCTTCATTGCTCACTCCCAATTGTAACACAGCTTGAGGAGATTTGAGTTTTGCTTGAGCTGAGTGAGCCATCTGAAGATTAAGCTGCCATCCAACCGTCTCAAGCTTAAAAGACAAGTGCAGATTGGAATCAGATGACACAGAAGGAAGAAAACAATCAAATTTAAGCAAAGTTCCACTAAGCAGGAATACATGGAGAGCTGGACTTCATGGAAAGTCAGTTCCAGGGCTCCTTTAATCTGCAAATTCTTCCTTTGGACTCAGTAAGATTGGCCTCTTGCCATGCCTGTCATATTTAACAGTAAAAGTGATCTTTAAATACACTCTATTCTAAAAATAAAAATTGTAAGACTGAACACTAAAGTATAGTAAAAGAGCCAACGGTTTTTAAAATAGCATGCTACTATTATAAGATATCATTATTTTAAATCAATGAATTCTAAATAGTGATGAATATCAATTATTAATGGTAAATAGCATAAAGTGATGAAAGCACTTTAATGACTTCCCATTATATTTCAAAAATTTCTTCATTAGGTACCAATATAGGTAAGACTTTTTTAAATTTAATTTATAAATTTAGAGAAAAAATGAAATACCCAGATGGTAAGAGGCTCACACATTTAGACACAGTTAGTGGGAATGGAATAGAGCCAGGGAACGAATTGATACCTACAGTCAGCAGATGTTACCCAAGAGACTTTCAGACTTTCTGAAGTACTAACCTACTATGCTTCCCAGATATGACAGAAACTAATTAGAACACTTTTTTAACTTATTAATAACACAACAGAAAAGTTAATCAGGTAAGACAAAAACAGTAAAGACAAAGTACAGCAATTTCATTTTCTTTTATATACTATGCAGTACAAACATGGCTTTATTGAATTTGACAGTGTATGGTTCCTCCAATGTCGGAAGTATGAATATATGGTTGCAGTTTGATAGCCTGTTTATCTCAAGCATCAATATTTAGAGAAATGTTGGGAAATGCAACTGTCATATGCCTCTGACAACATGATCCTAATAACAGATTTAGTGAAACTACCTTAGCTATACTGGGTAAGAATGGTAGCCTCAGAAAAAATTTAACTTGACCAGAATACCAATTACTTAACTTGAAAGACTGCTCAACAGCTAGAATCACAGCAGTGACTCAAAGCCAAGTTGGGAAGAGAGCAGTCAAAGTATTACCTATTCGAGAGAGGATGTGATGAGAAAATAGAGGCAGTCCTATTCTTGCTGGCACTAAGCCTTTTAGAGGTTCGGCAGACAAGGAGGGAAGATGTGGTAGAGACTAATCCATAATACACAGTAAGTAAAAATCAATTTAATGGTGACTGTTAAGGATCCTTGATGTACTGATCTTTAACACTGACTACAGTAAGAACAATCTAATACCAGCCCACCACCATTTACAATGGTCACATGTAATAAGCCCTCCAATAAAACTAGAATAATGTCACAATTGCTCTCATATATCCAAAAGCATTTTGACACATCATGTCTTAACTGAAAAGCACCTTGTAAGTATTCATAGGAACCCATAGGATGCCGTATTGATCTTATTTAACTAATCCTATTACTATCCTCGGCATTTAACATAACTGATGAAGATGAATGTTAAGTGGATAAATTAAAACACACCCCCACTGTGGTCAGACTTTGGCATTAGTTAATGCATGCTTAAGCTCTGTGTAGAGGTTGTGTGGGAGAATGAAAACGAGAATTGGATGTGAAGCTCACGCGCCGGTTCACACCTAAGCTATTACTCAGTATGTGACTCTGGCTAACTGACATTCTTTCAAAAATCTCAATTTCCTCATACAAAATCAAAGTAACATCTACTAAACTACTTACTTTTCTGAGTTACTGGTAACATCAAATAAAAAAATGCACATTTAGTATTTTCAAAACTGCAAACATCAACAAATACTATGGCATTTTGGTCACCTAATGCTTCTTTGGTATCTTTCAAATTTTTTAAAAATACTTTCCAAAATCCATGACCCAGCTCACGCCCTCATTACCCATCTCTGCTCATTTTATCACAACAGTCCTCTAACTGGGAGACCTGCCACCTAACTATTCCCAACCCATCATTCCATGTTCCTTCTTAAATAATCTAACAAAGTGGTTCAGAAAGTGGTCGCATATGGAGGATCTATGGCTGAGTGAAGTAAGCCAAGATATGAAAGAAAGATACTGTATGTATCCACTCAATATATACCGACTATCCGCACTCTATGGTAGAGATCGAAATATTGGAGGACGTAAGAGCAGTGAAAATAGTTAACGAGCATAAGACAGTGTGGAATGGGGTGGAAGAAGAGAAGAGTATAAAGATAGCAAGAGAACAAATAGAGAGGCATGACATTAGTGGGACATAGATATGGCTTATGACCTGTTGATGATGACATGTATAGTATTCTCAATTGGCTTGGTCTGAGAAGTATTTCATGATGAGTAAAGTCTTTTTACAAGCAAAATGAGAAATAGCGATTGACTGTTTAAAAAATAATTGGAATAATAATAACAATCGGAGAAAAAATGAAAAGCTATTGGATGATGAAATGGGGATTTTTCTTTTTTTTGGAGAGGTTTACGCTATAGGGCGCGTGCGCTCACCAGACAGACAGAGAGAGACATAGAGACAGAAAGTGAGAAATCACCCCCCCAAGGGGGGAAGGTCACACTGAAATCCCTTCTCCTCCATTCTCCTCTCGGGACCTTGGGCACACACGCACACGCGCCCGACGTGAGTTTTAAGCCACCGGGTCCAGGACGTGAACCATGGTCGACTACGTGGGAGTCCAGCAACATAGCCATTACGCTAACTGCTGGTTCCCATGAAATGGGTATTTTAATGTCTCTGTATTGACTGATATGCATGGTATTCCTTCTGGAAAAAGATTGTGTACACTATAAAGTTATATGTGATTCAATGTAATATAAAAAAGATTATAATGATAATTAAGTAAATGAATGAAATAATCTAACAGTTCATTATTATCCACAAAATAAAACACACTCTTAAGCTCTAAGCCTGGTTCCAAGTCCCTCAGTATGTGATACCCTGCCACTGTTGCATTTCACACACATTACTGATTATAATCTAGCCACACTGAACCAAACGTAATTCCCAGGATACACTATGCTGTTTCATGCCTATTCTTTTGTTCCAAGAAACACACAGCTCCACTGTGGTTTCTCCTTTCCCTTCCCTGTATAGTTTGCCACCTGCTATTATTTCTCAGCATTCCTATCCTTAACAAACATTAACAATCAGTATACTGCAATAATTAGCCTATATGTCTATCCCCTCAAAGTAGACTTTAATCTCCAGTAGAAAAAGGCTGAAGACTGACTCACTTTTACATCCCTGTGACCTAAACAGCCCCTGAAAGAGTCAACATTAAAAGACTTCTTCAGTAAGTAATTGCATAAACATACAGCTTTCAAGGAGGAATATTTACGTGAAAATGAGTATCTGAAAGGACAAGAAAAGAAGCTGTATTGGGACCAGCAGTTGGTGTAATGGCTATGTCACTGGACTCCCATGTGGTGAACCATGGTTCAAGTCCCAGACCCGGTGGCTTAAACTCACGCCGGGCACATGTGCATGCATGTCCAAGATCCCGAGAGGAGAATGAAGGAGAAGGGATTGCAGTGTGGCCATCCCCCTGGGGGATGATTTCTCGCTTTCTGTTTGTCTTTCTGGTGAGTGCACGTACCCTATAGCAAAAACCTCTCCAAAAAAGTAATAAAAAATAAAAATAAGTTGTATTTCCTTCCACTTGGATATGGCTTTGTTGAAAGTGAGACTGCAATCTATCAAGTGACATTTAGTTGGTTCTTTACATAGGCACGTGTGTGCGCAAACACATGAATTTTCTATCTATAGACCAAAGTATGTCCAGAAGTACTTCTTATGAGTACACACTACCCTATAGCTTTCACATGGTTTTCTTTTTAAATTTTCAAATTTTATTTTTTTCATTTACATTAATCACTGTACATATTTACAGTGTACAACATGTTTTTTCCCAGCATGAATATAGTGCATATTAGTCAAGTCAAAGACATTACCACATGTACATTATCAACAACTAACAACTTATTTTTGTGTCTATTCAATGTTTTGTATGTTTTTTTTCCTGATCCCCTCCCTCCTACCACCTAGTATTTACAGTTGGTGTCACTGCTATATTACCTTCCAATCATTAAATTTCTCCTGCAGAGTGTGAACATCTGGTATATTCTCAGCAGGGACATACAATGCGTGTCTTTCATAGTCTAGATTGCTCCACTTAGCATTAAATTTGTCTATTATACAACAATGTCAGGATTTATAGCTGAGTAGCATTCTATAGAGTACATATATCACATTTTTTCAATCCACTTGTCCATTCTTGGACATGTGGGTTGATTCCATGCCCTAGCAATTGTAAATAATGCTGCAATAAACATAGGTGTGCAAGTGTTTTTCAGACTAAGTGTTTTTCTGTCTTTCGGGTAGAAACCTAAAAGAATTACTGGGTGGTATGCTAATTCTACCTATAGCCTTATGAGGACCTTCCATAGTGTTCTCCACAAAAGTTGTACTAATTTACATTCCCACCAACAGTGTAGGAGAGTCCCCTTTTCACTGGAGCCTAACCAGCACTTATCTTTTTTTTTTTAAATCTAAGCCATTCTGAATGAGGTTAAGTGGTATCTCATGGTGGTTCTGATTTGCATTTTCCTTATCAAGAGACATTGAGTATTTTTTCATATGCTTTTTTGGGTGTTCTTATGTTTTCCTTAGAGAGTTATCTATTTGGCTCCTTTGCCCATCGTTTGATCAGATTTTTTTTTCAAGTATGGTGCTTGAGTTCTCTGTACATCCTGGTTATCAGTCCCTTACCTGAGGCATAGTTTGCAAATATATTCTCCTATTCTGAGGGAGTCAGCCTAGTTATTGTTTCTTTTGCCATGCAGCTTTTTAGCCTGATGTAGTCTGACTTGTCTATCTTTGAATTATTGCCTGTGCTTTGGGTCTTTGCCTATTCCAATGTTCCCAAGAGTTTCCCCTGTGTTTTCCACCAGCAGTTTTATAGTTCAAC